ACTTACATGTATACCAGTGTGTGTGTGAATCCAGAAGTTCTGAAGGGAGATTATCTACAGGTTTGGTCTCACTGTAGATAGACCATGGTATGGTAAGTGGGTCATGAGTCCTATCCACGTTGTATCTCTTCAACGCAGAACCCAATGTGGTTCTGCCAGAGTGGTACCAAGAGAGTTGCTGAAGAATGGCTATCAAAGCCCAACTAAGAGCAATCTAGATCTAGTCTAGAATCTCTTTAATTACAGCCTAGGAGCTGTCTAACTATAGCCTAAGAGTAGGAGTAGGACCCTATAACGATGTTCGTATAAAAAAAACAAATCGAGCCCCAAATATTAGAAATAATCTTACCTCAAATTGAGGGATACTCTAGACCAAAGGTGAAGTCTTAAACTTCCAAAAGCTGCTCGGAACAGTCCTATTGAAAAAAAATGAAACACGTGTTGTAGGTTAATATTTTCTGAAGAAAATCTCAAACTTACCGAAACAGAATCCAAAAATGACCAAGGGACGACTCTAGACGATTATCGGCAAGAAATTAGTCTACTTGAGCTCCCTGGTACAAAATTCCAAAAAGTCTCGCCCCAAAAATAATTAGGGCCGAGGCCCGAGACCGGACGACAACTCAGCGTGAGGTCGCAGATCAAAAGGGGCTGATTCTTCATTTAGATTTCGGAAGAAGGCTCTATCTGTCTTGAAGAAAATTATGGAAAAAAGCGTGTTCAGTTTCATACCAAAAGTACGAACTGAAGGTCTGGTTGTGTAAAAACAATGAAGTAAAAATGACTGGTGAATATTGAAAAATGTCTATAGAACATATATCAAAAAGTAGAACAGGTCTAAAGAAAACGCCTAGACAAAACAGCTGTTCAATGACATGATGGAAATGAAAAATCAAAGAGTAAACAACAATTATTATCATAACCTCAGATTATTGATTGGATTTGCAAACAGAGATGATGGATGATACTCTCTCCTTTATATAAGATTCTAATCAATAACAGCGGGCCCTGCCGTACTGAATCAAACCTTCCTAGATCAATTAACAAAACTTGCAAACCTGCACCAAAAAAACTTTCAGTAGAAGGCAGTACTCAAGGTAACAAAATCTGCCACAGAAAAGATAGTTGTTTATTCATTTATTTCATTGTACTTCTATATGGAATCATATCTACTAAAGCAAAACAAGGTAGCTTATTAGCCAAGAAATTGAAAACGTTATAAACTAAACAAATGAAACTTCAAATGATTATTTTTAAAATTATGCACCTTTGAATGTAAAAATCGGTGAGCCAATAATAAATTATTCCGAAAATGGGCGATTATTAGTACGCTACTGGACACCACATTATTTTAGTATTTTTTTTTCATTGAAAATAAACCAGGATATCGTGGTGTATATCAAACCACAGCATAAGATGCAAGATTTATTGTACAGGATGGCTTAGGTGCTTAAAAGTTGAAAAAAGTGGAGGTTATGAAAAAAAATTGATATTGTTAAAACTAAGGCAGGTATAAAAAATTTGAGAAATTACTTTTTTTGCAGAAGATCATTGATTAAAACGCCGCATAGAAATAAAATTTAAAAAATTATCTGGGAAAGTTACACACATTCAAAATTGGGATGAAAATCATGGACTTTTTCAACACCCTGTATAAAAAAAAGTAGAGATTTTAAAAAATTTCAAAATAGCAATTTTTTTCCCAAATGGTCAATCTGTCAGCCCGTGAAAACCGAAGGTCGATATCTAGTCTGGTTCCAAAAATATCGAGCTTGAAAGTTAGGCGATATTTTCCTTGTTCGAAAGCAATTGTCCAGCAGTTTAGTTAGTTTAGAGTTAGATTTCGTTAATTTGAGATTGTTTGATGCAAAACGATAGTTCTTGTGTTTTTAGTGGACTTACGACAATATTTCCTTTGAATAGTGAATATACCTACGACATTTTCTCACACACAAATTAAACAACTCCGGCATACTTTATGTGTTTTTATTTAAAAAAAATAAAATAAAAAAAAAACAAATTCTTGCAAAATGATTGGCTCGATCATTTCAGATAGAACAAAAAAGAAAACTCATTGGAGAATTCTAAATTAAAAGAAAAAAAGTAGTCTGATTAATGAAAAGTCAAATTATCGTAAAAGAAATGAAAGTCACGTAGAATACTATCTTTAAGCATTTGAAGGTGTTCCCATTTCTCTCGTTTTATTGAAAGTTGTTTACTGTAAAGTTTTGGTAAGGTGTTGTAGTCTCGAGGTTTTTGTTTCTTTTTTGAAAAATTTCTATTCTCTAGAGCGGTATAGTCATTATTATGTCTTATTTAAAAAAAAAAAACATTGCCTCTCTCATTATACTTTAATGCTCTAATATCGGTTACGGTAGGGTCTCCAACTTTCCGCCCCGGTCTAATTGATGACCAGGGTCGGATTACGGTCTTTTGGGGCCCGGGGCTATTTTCACAAAAGGGGCCCCTAGGTCCCTGAAATAAGTTCAAACGTCACCCAAAACTTTACCTTGCAGGGTAAAAAAATGTGAATTTTCTATTTACTTACAGAACAAACAATACAATACAGGAGAGGTGGTAATCAAAAGGACCCCGCACACCTCTTATGAGATTTGGGGATTCGAGCAATTTTCCTGAAAATTTGATATGATGCTGAATTAATGTCCAAGAAATGCACACATTTTAGCTGGGTTCGGCTATTCAGCGCGGAGTTGGAGTGGAGTGAACAGAGCTAATGGAGTCACCCCTAATACGGTAAAAAGCAATACCCGAACCTTAACCCGAACGGCTGGAGTGCGAATGGAGTCACTCGGAGTGCACGGAGTGAGCAAGCCGAACCCACCTAAAATATGCATTTACATCTACCTGTCACCTGAACGTGGGGATACCTGTCAATCCTGGAACACTTGGCCAAACATAAAACTGGTACAGGCAATATATATTTTGAAAATTGCCTAGTTTGAGTCAGGCTTAACAACAAAAAGTCTGTTCTGAAAAACTCAGGTCCGACAGTTTTTGTCAACGTCAAACCTGTTTTTATGTTATGATTGGTTCAAATATGACACTGACTTGACTCTTTTTGTCATTGTTAAGGTGATAAAAAAGGCCGATTTACACAATACAACACAATAGGAAAATGCGTACCAGTTTTATGTTTGGCCAAGTGTATATTATTAGGTGACAGGTAAAGTGCGTTTTTTTTTTTAAAGATAAAAGTCAAACTGACATTAGGTTGGCAATACAATGTAAAATTGTCAATGCTATCAAATTTTTCATGTAAAAAAGGCTTGTGTTGCCAACATAGTTACTAAATTTTTGACTTGGGGAATTATCTTTAAAAAAAAAACAGATTTTAGATGTAAATGCATATAAAATGTGTGCATTTCTTGGACATTAAACTACCTGTATCTCAAAAACTAGTCATAGGATCAAGTTAAGACTGAACACTTTTAATCAGAATGTTGAGAGGAGTATCATATCAAATTTTCAGAAAAATTGACCAAATTGAATTGTATGCCCTGACTGTTTTTTTTTTTTTTGTTGGAATGCCCTATTCCTTTTTGATTGACAATAGTGAAAGTGACGATAAACTATTATCCCCCATTGCAGAACGATATTTGTTTTTAATATAAGCTAGAGTACTAAAAGACCTTTCACCCTCGCAATTTGTGATAGGTCTGGATAGATATATTCTCAAAACATGTTAACGTTTGGAAAAACCTGGAAAAGGTCTTTTTCTTCCATCTGCCTTAAAAAAAATGAACGTTCAAGCCATCATCGTTCAAGTCTCGAATATAAGGACAAAACTGCATCAATTCATTCTTGAAGAACTTGCCTTAAGTTCCTGCTCCAAAATATTCGGTATATTTGTTAGGAACCCAAAGATATTACTAACATATTCATACGCTTCAGAACGTTTACTCAATTCTTAAGAAAGTTTGTCCAGACTGACATTGAATTTTTCCACTATATTTGTCCGGACCTCGTAACAAAAGTTCATCCTTACCCTCTGGATAGTTTCGCATTAAAACTCGCTTCTCCTCGTCACTATATTTTGAAGAAACGTATACAGTAAGTTTTTTTGCTTTTTGCTCAATATTATTAAATTCTGTCTCTGTGTGCAGTGAGTTTACAAATTCTACAAGGGGGCCTACCCGTCATGTTTAAACAAAACATGGCGGGTGGGCCCTATCAAGGTTCCTATTGTCGCCACTGTCTTTTATAAAGTCACTGTAGCTTTTGCTTTTATGCAGATAGTGCGCCATCTATCAATTATTATACCAGCCAGCTACTCAATAATAATATAGGGTAGTGTTGTATTCGATATAATTGATAGATAATAGATGCCGAAAGCGAAATTGTAAAATTATTCGCGAAAGTCCCCGAAGTAGGCGACATCTATGATCAACTTTGGTACTCAAAACTCAGTGAACAACAAAGCAAGATCGCATTTGGCCCCTGGCATTATTTCTGGAAGTTTCCAGTTTTCCACAGAATATTATTCCTTTTATGTATTGTTTCTGTTATATAAATCACAAAAACGCTATAAAACACAATTTAACAAAAACTAACCTCAAAAAACTGGCTTTGTTGTTCACTGATGGCCGGTTGCACCGACAATTTTAAGGGAGGCTTAACGATACGAAGAACTTAAAATGACATTTCTACATGTAAAAATGTCACTTTAAGGAATACTTATCGTTAAGCTCTCCTTAAAATTGTCGGTGCAAACGGCCATGAGTTCGGCAGACATATTGCCATTTTTCGCGTAATTTAGCGCCATCTATTGGTACAGGAATTTCGCCAATATGCATCATGATTTCTTCCCCGTGTGAGGTGGCGTTTTGGGGCCCCCATTATTTCGGGGCCCGGGGCTTTAGCCCCCAAAGCCCCCCCCTTAATCCGGCCCTGTTGATGACAAAATTTAAACAGAATCAAAATTTAAAAAAAAAATCGAATGTCAGATAATTCACTTTGAACAAACTGAGATTTTGTCTAACCTGAAGAAAAACACTAACATAGTCTGCTGGTACATCGATATTAGTATTTTGAAGCTTTCTCTCAATCAATGAGTGCATGTGGGCTGCTTTCATATGGGCATGCCCTCTTTCCAAATACTTTTGTTCGATTGTAATCTTGTACTGAATAGATGAGTTTAAAAGAGCATTTGAAAGAGTGACATTCCTAATTTGTGCAGCACATCCGTCGCTATATAAAATTATATTTTGATTTGGTTTTAATACTAAGACGTTGTCGATTATAAAAGAGCAAATTATTGAAGAATAGTTATCGGGGCTTACACCTCCTGATGCTTCAAGCCAAACAAAGCAATAGCCTTTATTTAATTTCATATCAAATATGGTAAAGTTGTGAACCATGAGATTCATTTTAAAGTAAAGTGCCGAAGTGTTTGACTTTGGACTCAATAAAACCGCCTGCATGTCCATGCAAAAAACTCTGTTCTCGGAAGCTTTGTCTTTATTCTTTGCTTCTCTTTCTTCGTTTTTCTTTATTTCGTGTAGCGCGTAATCTTCATCAGATAGGTTTTTCATATGATAAGTGACACAAATATCGCACTCGTTTTTTTTTTGGTTTAAAAATGTCCAGGTTAAGTTCATCAAAAACATGTGAAAATGAAGCAGTTCATACACTTGGTTTCTCTCTCTTCTGTACAAATTCGATTTGATCCAGGTTGATTCTGGATTTGATCCAGGTTGATTTGGATATTCTAGACCGACAATAACGACATTCTATTTTCGGTAAGTCTCTGAAGAACTCTTCCAAAATTTCCTTTCTATCCTTTTCCAGTTTTTCAGTAGCATTTTGCTCCTGTTCTTTCTCTTGTGATTCTTCTTTATTTTTTTGAGGACCATTTTTTCAGTCTATAATAATTGGTTCTTTCAAGCCTAGGGCATCCAAAAACATTTTCTTGCAAACACGATAGTTTCTTTCCTCAAGAGTTTGTAAGTAATAAATTCACGAATACTCTCTTCTCGATTTATTTTCCTCTTTTCTGTTTCTTCCCCGAAGTGTGCTTTCCTTCTTGACTTGAAGATTTACGTAAATTTTACGCAGGTCCCACGTCATTTCAGATCAAAATTTTTTAAAAATATCTTGCCTTTCTTGGTTGGTTAAAGCTCTACATTGCATTTTTTTATTTTTTATAGAAGCTTTGCAATCATAAATCCCTTTCAGCTGTCTTTCTTCCCTATTTATTTCCAAGGTTCCAATAGTTTTTCTTTTCCCAAAGTATTGCTCGCCCTTTTCTCTTCTTCTTTTATTCGCATTTTTACTCCAAGTCTTTTCATCCACTTGTTGTCTCTTTTTTCTTTTTCTGGCACCATTATCACTCAAATTTGGTTCATCTAGCGAAGATAAACTGCTCACTGAAGAAAAGCTTGCTTCTTTTTCATAATGAGGTTCATTCAAATCTTCATACGTCTCGTTTTCTTCATTATTCGTAGTCATACACAAAGCTTCCCCAATGTCTTGCTCTGCATTGCTATATTTATTTTCGTCATTTTCTATGTTCGGTTCTAGGATTTCTATATTTGTTCTTTGGTAGAAATAGGACTAGCAGTTTCTTCAGGTAGTAGATTCTCAGTATTAAAATCCACTATAAAACTCAATAATAGAAAGCTCAACATTTTCAAAACTGCAGTTCAACATCGAAAAATTGTTAGCCATGAATAGCTCTTCAGATTCACAAAATAGCCTATGCAAAATTTGTTGTTCTGCGTGTAGTTTATTCAATTGAACGTTTGTTTCTTCCAAACCTCTGGAACTGCAGTTTTCACTTGGATCAAAAAACGTATTTGCATCACATTGTGTGATTAATGGATGTTGCTTGTGAATACCAGACTTTGCTTCCGAAATTGTATCTGAGGAGGATATTAGAGCAGTTTTTGCTATTGATGTTTGTTTGCCATTTTCTTCACATTTGTCTTTGTCCAACAATGAAAATATTTTTGCAGTTCGACTCGGACCATTTTTCAACTTTTTGTTGTGCTACTGCTTCTGAAAATAATAAAATTTTGTGAATAAATTATTAAGACTTCTAAAAACTATGGGACAAAGTCGTATGTGTGACGCCCAATGACATCTTAACAGAGATAGATACCACAACTCATTCATAAATTGATGTTTGTTGTGATGACAAGACCCCCCCATGGGCCAGGGGAGGTGAGCTGCTCAAGGGGGGTCATGGTGGGGGTACATTAGAGTCGTAATCAATACCCGCCCAATGCCAAAAGCTGTAGTGGCCTTGAAAACATTGCAGAGACCAATGGCGTCTCGTTTCTAATTTATTATCGCAAATAATTGAAGAGTATAATTTCCAATGACATCTTAACAATTTTGATTTTGAGGTCCCGACACTTCCGACATAGCTAAATTGCTGTAGCGCACAAAAATAAATTAAAAAATGGCTACTCCAGAAGATATTAAAGACTTCATTGAGGCTGATGGACAACCATATTAGGCCTGCATTGCGCGCGCTGAATGGTCTAGCACTTCTGGTCGTAATACACAAATTCAGTGTTGTTCTGGATGATTTTGATCGTGAGGCGATCAATGCGGAAATTAGGCAATTTGTCAACTGCGTCGCGAATCATCGCCTCACTGCCACTATCAACGCCCTTCTGGGAAGAATTCAAAATCGCGAGAAGATATTGAGGAATGATCTGTGTGTGTAGTTTATATTAACCTTTTTTTTGCACCTAATTTTCACTTTTAATTCAGTTTAATCTGCTATGTTTTTATGTGCACTTTTGTATTCCTTACATAATTACATTTCTCCATGTAGTTATGAAAAATCCAAAATCCACACCACTTAACATCAAACAATCATTGGATACAAATTGATTTCATCATTTTATTAATATTATAGCAGATTTATTCTATAATTGAATTTGTAGCTGGTTTCAATAATAACCCATCAACTCGACAATTTGAGGCAGCTTATAAACGCTTGCTGGTCTACAATGAGTTATCTGCTCCAAATTCTGGAAATTCATCTAGAGAAAATGACCTTTTTATGCTGTGGCACTGGAGCCCAAAAACTATCGGCAACTGATGGCAAAAATTTGTAGGAGTCTGAAGAATACCAATCTTACCAAAGAGAATTTTTTCGGACGCTTGACGAACAGCAACATAATACAGCTTCCATATGGAACTTGACAGATTATGTGGAATATGTTGCTACATTTTTTCTGTTAGCAAAACGGAAATGACCGGAATGAGGGTGGTTACGCAAATGGGCTTAAGAAAAGGAACTTAGTTTCTACCTTATAGGGCTGAGAGTGCCAGCTAAACTCCAGTCGGGAGTGGTCGAGGGTTAAAACAGAAGAAAACTCTAGAAAATAGGTAAAATTTTGGACGCCACCCGTTTTATGGCCCTAAAGTAAGGTAGAACGTTAGCTGAAAAAAACATCTAAAACGGGAAACCTAAAGGATTTCACCCAATTTGGAAATCAAACTCTGTCGTAAATAATAAAGGGGCATTTTATTCAAGTTTGCCGAGATTCACTGTAAGTACTTGATTTAGATATTTTCAGTACCTTTAGGTAATTATTATTATCAAATCGGTATTATTCAAATCAATTTAAGTAAATTAGATGAAATTTTTGAATACTCTCTAACTAAATAAAATAGAAACAAAAAGGTACCAACGCAACGTCCTTTGCATATATGCTTCGGCTAACACGGTTGAAATATTTATAAGAAAAATTAATAACTAATTACTTAAATAAGGTAAAATATATATAACTAATTACTTGATTTATTTGATTAAGATTCAACTATAGATGATTTATGTACTAGTGATTTGGCTTTTCAGGGTGTTTAGGTCGATTCCGTGTATGTACGAAGGGCTTTTCGAGCCTGGGTCGGTTAAGATAAATTAGAACGAACCCACCTGGATATCCTGGAGTTGGTAGCGTCGGGTTATTTAGCTACGAGAGATATCAGGAAGGCGAGAAGGCGTGGGCTCACGCGTCGTGGAATTGTCGGCGTCGTGATTGCGTCACCGGACCAGAAGTTACGGGACATCGAATTCTCTCGAAATGGTATGCCAAACCAAACTTTGTCCAAACCATGGATTGGAAGTTTAGAGGGGGAATGAATAATGGAAGATAAAAACAACAGACAGGCCTAGAAAGAGAATTTGGAATGTATCGGGTACTAATTCAAACGAATATCCGTCATTATAGAAAATTCCAGAATAAAAATGCACACTTACCAGTGATTTCAGGCGTCCATTTTGTGTGTAAATCCAGTAAAAAAAAAGAACTCAAGGAATTTAAGTTTTAAACCCGAAACTTTGAGTAAATCAGCAAAAAGAATTGCTCGGGGTGCTAAAATAGTGAAATTAGCCACCCACAATCAAAATTCGGAATAAATTCCAACGTAAATCGGCAAAACGCCTGAGAGTACCGTACCTCAAATAACGCACCCTGCAAAGGAGGCTACAGTACTGACTGCTTGAGGAATGAACATCGTAGTATTCACCTTTTTTTTTTTCTTTTCTGTAATACAATTAGTTAGGTACCCCAAAAGTGTTGATTTTGGCTTGACCGTACGGACTGGTATTTTTGGTTTATTTATAGGATGGACAAAATAATTTTAAATAGCATTTAAACATTTCATTAGAATTATAATATATTTCCTAAAGAAAATTAAATTAGATATTTTCTTGGAAAATAGACCCGTAACAACACCTCCCCTTCCTAGAGAGAAGTTTCAACGAAACTTGAAACAGAAAAAAAAATAATCTCAGATTATCCTCATCTTAGATTACCTACTACAATTTATTTATATTAATTAATACAACTTACAACTAAGTGGTATACAAACTACCAAACTAAAAGTCATCAATGGGAGAGTCCTGAGGGTGACTCTTAAGATCTTTTGCATGCCAGGTTCCGCATTTTCGGCCAGAAAGGTTGGAAAGCTCGTACGACCAAGGTGACAGAACTTTGGATACCAAAAATGGTCCAGAGAATTTTGGCGCAAGCTTCGATGTAAAATTATTTGCAGCACTGGAGATAACATGATTTTTCCGCCAAACCTGCTGGTTCAATTGAAATCTCTCATCGCGATGTCTGAGATTATACCTGCTACGACTCCGGTCAAAACACTGTTTGAGACGCTTCTGTACGTCTACGAAAACTTTTTCCAAAACTCGTGCGCGTTCCACTGGATTGTACGTTTCCAAATCGTTATTCGAACTTGAGGTATTCGAGGAAGGAATGAACCTAGGTTCACGGCCAAACACAACAAAATTTGGGGTAAGACCAGTAACCTCGTGCTTTGGTGAACGCATCGCACAACCAGCCTTCGACAAAAAGGTGTCCCAGAGTTTATGATTATTCTCCACGTAGCCCGAGATAATAGTTTTTAGAACTCGATGAACTCGCTCAACCGGATTCGCTTGCGGATGATAATGGGCGGTAAAGCGGAGGCAAATACCGTAGCTATGAAGAACGTCTTGGAAGTGTTTACTGCGGAATTGGGGCCCGTTATCTGCAATCAATTTTTCAGGAATTCCATATAT